ACATCTTCTCCTCGTCATCCGACCCTCATTCTCCTCTACCTGTTACATCTACTTTTACTTTTTAAAATTTCAAAAAAGAAATTAAAAAAAAAAATCAAAAACTTTACATGAGCATAGACATGATTAATTTCTTGAAAGGGCAATAGTAATAATGAAAAAGTATTAAATATAGTCTTTTCACTTAGTATTTTTGTTCGTCTTTATATTACGCATGATTGATATATATTAATAAATCGTACTGATATTAATAGTGACAGAATTAATATTTTCATTAAAAAATATTTAAAATAGGTAGAAATCAAATATAACAACAATAAATTGAAGAGGGTCCAACATATATATATATATATATATATAAAGTTAATCATATATAAATAATATATATTCTTTTACCGATTGGATTTAAATGAAGCCCTCCAACTTGGTCCTACCTAGCTTTGTCTCTAAATATGAGTTGTGATCAGTTTTCAATAATGTGGTTCAAAATTCGAAGGAGTAAACATATGAACTAGTCGAAGGTGGTTCGATATCTATTATATATATCTAAAAGATAATTTTAACCATGTATATATTGTAATATTTCCATCGAAGAGGATTCGGGTGAACCCCTAAAGACATGATAGCTCCGCTCCGCCCTGATTGTGATAATATGATTTGAGCATATTTTTAATTTAATTAAAAGTCTTATATTCGAATCTCGAATAATATAAATATTGAATATCAGATAAAAAATATAGTGGCAAATCATAGCCAATTTCCTACCCTACGTTACGTCCGTGATTATGGGAAAGGAAAGATGAATGCACCAAAGTTTATATTATTAAAAGAAGAAGAATCTTCTACTATACACAGCAGTCCCAGTTCACTTTAAAGAATATTGATAATTAAATTAATTATGAAGAAAATTCTTTCATAATTTTATAAAATATTATTTTCGTTAAACTCCATAGATCATTAGTAGATAAAGTCAAATCTTTATTATAACATTATTTCTTTATAATAGTCTGAGTTTTTCTAAAATTAACTTTTTCTGTTATATTTTAATCTTTTATGATAATATTCTATTATATTAATAATGACATTTAGATACATAATTTTTGTTAAATAAATCTTCTATTTTATAAAAATAAACGGCCATCATCGTTAATGTCATCCACGTTATAAACTTCAAGTATTAATATTTATAAATAATTATATATTTTACTAATGTCCATCGGTAATAGTCATAGTGAAAAAAAATACAGATATTTATCTCTTTTACAATCATACTCTTTTTATTTTCTTTTATTAACAAATATTTTTTTTCTTGGTATATTACAATATAAATCCTTTAAAATCATTTGCTAAATTATTGACACTATATAGAATTTATTAAAACTATTTTTCATCTAATATCTGAAGTTCGTATTAAAATTATCGACTAATATAAATCGAATCAAACACCTAGATGGGGTGTCATGGTGTGTGGGGGTGGGTGGGGGGTGGGGTGTGGGGCCCTCAAGCTTCACCATAGAACAAATCAAAATGAAATATCATTGCTGCATGTGAGCCCAAAAGTTGTTTAAGACATATAAACATGTGGGATGGAGAAATAGACTTTGGACCAACACAAATATTAGACTTATTAATTAACAATTAGTACTACTTACAGCTTAATTTGATTAGACTATCAAATTTGTAAAAAGATTCTAAAATTTTACGATATTAAATTAAAATTTAGTTATCTTATTTGTCAAATATTAAAATTGAAAAACTTACTAAATATAAAAGAAGAAACATTTTGCAATTAGAAAGAACGTTCAAAGATTTCTTATATTCTTTTCCCTCAATGGAAATGTTCGAGGGATAATTAGTAATATTGTGTTGATAACAAAGACGTAACTTTATTTCTTAACTAAGGTCATTATAATTCACGAGCGTTTTATTCGATCACAATTCTGACTCAAATCATTCTTGTTTATTTTAGAATGTAATTTTATTTCCTAACTAAGCTCATCAAACAAGTGTTATGTTCGATTATGATTCCAACACAAATTATCCTCGTTGATTTAGAACATAATTTTATTTTTTAATTAAGCTCACCAAATAAACGTCATGTTTGATTATGATCCTGACTCTAACCCATTGTCATTTTCTTTGGGCCTAGCGATAGATAAAATATTGACAGGATATAGACGTTATCCCCAACAAATTTAGCAACGTTGTATTCTAGAACACTCCACATGCAAAGATCCCAAGAGCTATGAAGAATAATATTTTACTGTGATTAGAAGTTCTATCATTTATTCACAATTTAACGATATCCGACTAGATTCGAAATTTAAGAAAAAAATAATAAAGATTTATCTAAAAAGTCAATGCATATATAATATGTGTATAATTTTTATATACTATGTGTATAATCATAGATATATAATCAATATATATTGATTAGAAAAAAAATGTATTTGACTATTTCTTTATTCTTAATTTGTTCGACTATTTATGTCAAAGATCCCCATCTTTTTCCCAAAACTTAATATGTGAAACATGACACAAATGTCATCATAATTTATAATGTTGAGGTTAATTTACTCTATAACATGTTAGGTCATTTATATAAAACGTTATTAAAAGTACTAAAGGGAAGGTTAATACAAATGAGTTTTAAAATATATATAAAAAAGAATAGGTCAATTGTTTCGAACGAACCAAAAAAATGAAAGAGTATTACATAAAATGCACTGATAGAATATAAGGTTGTGTAATTGAATACAATCATACGATAAATTTTCATTAGCTACGAGCAAATTAGCTATATATGTACCAATAATGAAGTTCGTAACTAATTCCAGTATTTTATAATTGTAATATATGCACTTTCTCAAATAAATTAAATTTTCAAATGAAATAATTACATATTTTAACGTGATATCAGAGCAAATAGATATTTCAAATAATTTCAATCTAATAGAAGGCCCTATTTTGTGAAGTCTCTATATGTCCACCCTATCAATATCTTGTTTGGTAGCTCTCGAGGCATGTTATCGATTAAAGTTGTGATCCCACCTTTGCCACATTTTAGCAATTTATATCTAGCATTATTATGACCACAATATCATCAAACCTAAAACTATATATAATTGGTTGAATTTTCAATATTATTGGTGGTCCACAAACTTTTTATTTATTTTCTTTCAAATGTTTGGTTCATTTATATATGACTTTGTTCAATAAGATCCTTTCTTCATTGGCAATTATTATTTTTGGTTTTCCATCTACCATTAGGTATTCATATTGGAGTTCGACTAAATCTGGATTCACATCGATAAAGTGCTTTAGCGACTTCATACCCAAGATGATTTAAGCCCAAATTAAAATATCTGATATATGAAAAAGTACTTACTACTTCACCACGATCTTTGTTGATTATTGATAATTTAAGATAGAATTCCTAGTGAATTTCTTTATACAAATTGATTTAAAATTTAATTTACCAACAATATATTCAGTACAATAAGATTTAGGTTATATAGTGGACATAATGTTACATGATGATATTAGTTTGAAAGGTGATAGATGAGAATAAATTATCCGATACCTTGATCATAATATATATAAAAAAGGGCATGTAACTGAAATTTTCTTTAATTATCATAAGAATAAGAAAATACTCCACCCACTCAAAAATGATATTACCTAAACAAACATCACGTTTATTGAGAATTCAATAAATATAGACAATGTGTAATCTATTAAATTGTTATTATTTAATAAATGTTTTTTGAAAATTGAACACGACTATAAAGATGGAGTACAAAGATCATATAGTCGTTGGAAAAATAATATATATTAATTTTTTTTCTTAAATTTCTAAGATAGGACTTATTTAGGGACAATTTTTTTTCATAACACTTATTTTGAGACGGAATAAATACCTAACAAACAAATTAAAGTCTATATGGAGTCTCAACTTTTGTCTTAATTCCATAGGATTTAAGAGGTCATTTCTATTAGATTCCATATCTTCTGAAAAGATTTTGCCATTTACTAGGAATATATGAAGAATATGAGACTTTATATCTTTTTTTCTATTTAATGAGGAATTAATTTTAAATGTAAAAATAATAGACAGTTCTTATTAGTTCTGAAATTTAAAATTCAAATTGCATATATATTATGAAATATAAAATATGATGGAAGAGTCTTATGTACAAAATTTTAGTAATATTATTGTCCAATATTTACTATGGTCCAATAGAAAAGGGAGATTTCAGACTGCTAATACAAAATAGCTAATTAAAAAAAAACATAATTCATTGCATAATTCTTATAAAATAGTTCATTCTCTCTTTATATATAGATATCTTTAGTGCACATGCTCATTCATTTAACCAGGATTTCAAGTGTAATTTGACTGTATATCAATTGAATCCTCCATCGTATTTAGATTGTTGCATAGCCAATTGTATTTATTGATTACTTTTTAAAATTGAAATATAAATATTATTACACGACTAAATTATACTATTATAATACATTCATTGTCTATTTTTTAGTATAAGAATACCCATTGAACTATTTAGATTATAATTCTTCTAACTTAACTTCAATACACAACAATTTAAAAGGTTTCAGCGTTATCAAGTTATTGAAAATATATGATTTTTTTTATATAAAAAAAAAATGGCCTCCTTTGGAGGCCATTGTATGGTTCTCACTTTAGTTTTGCTTTTTTAGATTTAATTTAATTAATCTTTGAAGTAAAATTGTATCAGATCAATTCTACATATTACAACAAAAATATGGATATATTCCATATTCATATCAAAGATATGACCGTAAATAAAAGGTGTATGGAGGTTGTGGATAAAAATAGAAAATTAGTAGCTTTTGAGCATCACTAGCTATTCATGTTTTTGACTTGGAGGGTAGAAAGAGCATTGCATTTATCGTAGTATTAGCTTATTCATATAGTTTTTTTTATTTACTTTTGGGATCTAATATCATATGTGGTTTACTATATTTAGGTGATTGCACCCTGTTGTTATGTTACGGTTCCTTGCATATATGCTCTACACTGCTTTGCTATTAGTTGTCATGTTTTTGTCTACTATTCTTTTTTAAAGAAAATTATTGTTTTGATTTGTTTGAACCAAGGGTTTTTTGGAGACAATCTTTCCGCCTCTGGTAGGTAGCGTCGTATATAGTGCTAAGACCTGCGTACACTCTATTTTTCGTGGATATGTTACTATTGCAATTACCATATAAGAAGTACTACAAGTTGTATCTTTTGTCAAGTCAATTCTATTTAAGAAATACATTTTTAAAAATATTGGTCAAAGTTCACACAATCTGACTCTCGAGAAACAAAACGTGATAACTAATTTGATACATAGGCTATAACAATTAAAAAGAAATTCAATTAGGCAACTTCAATTGATGGAAAATAGAACACTATGGATCCTATAATGCTTGCTAGAATGGAGGCAATCTTGTTTTGTCCTAGTCAATTGGGACTTAGTCTTTTTTCCCTAACCATCATTTTTCAACTACCTTCTAATCTAGTCTCAAATTTCTCACCCTATTCTCTTACAACACTTGAAAAAAAAAAATGAAACTAAAATGATTTGTTATCCTTGTAAAATAATTTTGTATAAAAAATATAATTTGTTCTTCATGAATGTATAGTGTTCATAACAAAAATCAATAAAAAAAAAATGAAGGTAGAAACACTTACTCTTGTGTTAGTTAATTTAGCAGGTGTTATGGAAAAAGCAGATGAATCATTGTTACCAGGAGTCTATAAAGAAGTTGGTGATGCACTCCATACGGACCCTACCGGTTTAGGTTCACTCACTCTCTTCCGGTCCATGGTCCAGTCCACGTGTTATCCTATCGCGGCTTATCTAGCTGCACGTCACAATCGTGCTCATGTTATTGCCTATGGTGCATTTCTATGGGCTGCAGCTACATTCCTCGTCGCTTTCTCCACCACCTTCTTTCAAGTAGAGTGCTACTATCTACTCGTTTTAGTTTATATGACACACTTGTTCTGTTTTGAAAACGTCATAAAAAGTTATATCTTGTTCTGTTTTTTTATAATTTAAATACGTTAAGCTATTCACATGTAACTTTGATATGATGTATGCTCACCTTAACACCTTAAAGCTTCTGTATCCAATCATAAAACGTAGCGTAAAATGAAACAGATAGAGTATAAGTTATTGTAGTGAAACAGAGGAAACTATGTTCGTATTAAAGTTAAATTTACGTTTATATTTGAATTTTCTTAATGAAAATCCTGGCTCTGCTACTGCGACTGAGTGTATGGTTCATGACATCCTTTTTTTATTGGTAAGTTGGCAGTGTCAAGAGCTTTGAATGGGATTGGATTAGCCATAGTTTCACCTGCAATTCAATCACTAGTAGCTGACTCTTGTGATGAAAATAATCGCGGAATGGCATTCGGATGGCTGCAATTTACAAGCAACATTGGTTCACTTGTTGGTGGTTATGTTTCTTTATTGATAGCTCCTATAACATTCATGAGAATTCCAGGATGGAGACTTTCATTTCATCTTGTTGGTTTGATAAGTGTGGTTGTTGGCATTCTAGTTCGTTTATTCGCGACTGATCCTCATTTTCCAGATGATAATCTAAGGTCTAGTAGTAAAGTTCATGGAAGTTCTTATTCATTTATATCAGAAGTTCAAGGTTTACTTGAAGAAGCAAAATCAGTCGTAAAGATACGGTCTTTTCAGATTATTGTAGCTCAAGGTGTTATGGGATCATTCCCCTGGTCAGCTTTGTCATTTGCTCCAATGTGGTTAGAACTTACTGGTTTTACTCATGTGGAGACTGCTATTCTTCTTAGTTTGTTTGTTGTTGGTGATTCTATTGGGAGTTTGTTTGGAGGCAGAATGGGAGACGTTTTATCGCGGAGTTTACCTAATAGTGGAAGGATAATCTTGGCTCAAATAAGCTCAGGAACAGCTATTCCACTTGCTGCAATTCTTCTTCTTGCTTTGCCTGATGATCCTTCATCAATTTTCATGCATGGTTTAGTCTTGTTTGTCTCTGGATTTTTCATATCTTGGACTGCACCAGCTACAAACAAGTAATTGATCATTATCTTTAATCTGTCTTTATAGCGTTTAAACATGGTCAAAATTTTACATAATACATAAACAGACACTCAAACTTGTTGCTGACTCAGCAGACAAGTAAACACTCCAACTTACTAAATGATCATCTAGACAGTACATCTACGAAAATTTATGTGATATGTCAATGCAAGGTGTCCACGAGATATAATGAGGTTGGCTTGGAGTGTTTAGTTGTCAGTTGCTGTGTTTAGATGTGCAGTGTCAAAGTTGGAGTGGTTGCTGAGACCGAGTTTGAGTGTCTGTTTATGTATTATGCCCAAAAAGTAAAAGAAATACTAGTTCCTTGTCCATGTTGTTGCATTTATCATGATAAAACTGCAGAGGGTACTAAAAGAGACACCAACAGTCCAATTTTTGCAGAGATAGTACACGAGAAGGCACGAACAAGTGTCTATGCTCTAGACCGATCTTTTGAATCCGTGTTATCATCATTTGCTCCTCCTGTTGTTGGTTTACTCGCTCAAGATGTTTATGGTTATATGCCAGTAACTCAAGGTGCTGATAGTATTTCTACTGACAGAGAAAATGCTACGTCTTTAGCGAAGGCGTTGTTCACTGCAATAGGAACTCCAATGGCTCTATGTTGTGTTATTTACTCTTTTCTCTATTGCACCTATCCAAGGGATAAGGAGAAGGCTCAAATGGAAGCTCTGATCGAATCCGAGATGCAACTCTTGAGCTTGGATCCTTTGTCTCTTACCGGACAATATTCACTAGTCAAGTCATCCGAAAACCAAGAGAGTTATAACGATGAAAAAACCGTTGAGGAAATGGACTACAATGAGGATGGACTTGATTTTGAGGATGGTGATGACAAGACATTGATCTATCGTCGTCCAACGAGTTCAAATTTTGCTGAATAGGAGGTAGTCAAGTGAGTAATAGACCTAAAGCAACTGACACATAAGCTGACGTTACTAGCAGGTCTAATTCCGTGACAATAGAGCATAGACTATGAATGACATTTCAATTAACATATGGACAACCAGAATGCAGGACAAAGGCCACAATACAAATTGATATAGTTAATGGAGTGACACAAGTTATTTTATTTTTTTTGCAAAACAAGAATTATCACATTGTAACAAATATAATATATATTAGAGAAACTTAGCTTTCTGAAAAGATGTACTCTTCTTTCTAGTCTTGTAGTCCTATGTCATTTGACATGTAGTTTCGATTATGTCGGTGCTTGAAATAATTTTATCTTCTTTATATTATTATGTCTTCTGGTCCCTTAGGAAATTTTTTAATCGCATAATTTGGGCTCCTCGAATATGGCGACCTTGGGGCTTAATTTTTTTTTCTTTTATTTCAGTATAGGTTTTTGGAATGCTAAATGCTTTCAAACCTAATTTGACATGAATATTAGCATATATTTATTTGTTTTGTTCTTTCTAGTGCCTGCATTAGGGTTTGACTAAATCTAAATTTACATTGAAAAAGTCCAAGGCCAAAACTCCGTATGAGACTTTTTGGCACGAATCTTGATATCAAGTAGCGGTTTACTTTGGTTTGATTAAATCTAAATTTGCATTGAAAAAGTCCAAGGCTAAAGCTCCGTATGAGACTTTTCGACACGAATCTTGATATCCAGGAGCGCTTTACCTTTTTTAATATGAGATTTTTTTGCGCGAATTCAAATATGAGTATCGAGATGAGAAATTTAAAAAAAAAAAGATGTGGGACCCACCTGCAGTTGGCACGTGCCTATCCAACCTATGCACATGCCCACCAAAATTATTTCCTACACAACTACTGCAGATCTGCTGACTTTATTCAGAAAATTTATAGCAAATGGCAAAATCCACTAATTATAAGGACATAAATTTAGGATCAAATTAAAACAGACAGCAAATATACGTAGTCTACTAATAGTAAAAACATATTTATGATCAAATTAAAATATGAAGGGCAAATTTATTCGAATTCTCGTATTATAGGTCAATTAATCAATGATAAGAATATAATTAAGATTAAATTCAAACAAAAAATAAATTTCAACCTGTTTTTATTACTGTCTTAATAACATATATTTATTTACTTAAGTATATTTTCAACGAACATCTCAAAGACTTTTGAAATATGTACAGCTAGCTAAAAAGGTTTTGTCACGTAGTCTTAAATCAATAACACTGTTATTTAATGTGATAATTAATTAACACCCCCTGCATTCCTGTAGTCTCTCTTTTTTTTATTTGTCTATAAGAAAGACTTTTATTTCTAAAATTTTAATCTATGCTTTAACAAAAATGCTTCCCCTTCTATTGTTGATGCTTTTGTCACATTCGCGGTGGATAGCCACTGCGAATGTAACTAGTGATTGTAATTCAATTGCGAAGAATATTTTCATTTTATCTGGACAAAGCAACATGTCAGGGCGTGGTGGAGTCTTTAATCAGACAAGCTCATCAGGTACGGTTAGTTTAACTTGGGATGGTATTGTTCCACCTGAATGTCAGCCCAATCCATCAGTCCTCCGACTAAACGGAGGACTTACATGGGTTGAGGCTCACGAGCCGTTGCACAAAGATATAGATGTGAATAAGACTTGTGGGGTTGGACCGGGTATGTCATTTGCTAATAAACTCAAAATGGATGACCCGGATATCGGAGTGATTGGATTGGTCCCTTGCGCGATAGGAGGGACAAATATTACTCAATGGGTGCGTGGTGGATGGCTTTATAACGAAATGATTAGGAGGACTAAGGTCGCGTTACAAGGTGGAGGGATGATAAGAGGGATGTTGTGGTACCAAGGGGAGAGTGATGCAATTGATCTTGACGATGCTAAATTGTATAAAGGTAGATTGAAGAAATTCTTTAAAGATGTACGTAGAGATTTGGAGCTACCTACACTCCCTATTGTTCAGGTAATAGAAATAACTATTTGTTCCAATTTACATGTCTTACTTTTTCTTTTAATCGGTTTAAAAAGATTGTTTTGTTTTTAGTATTTAGTAGGCTTTTAGTTCCACTATTCTTGTTTTGCCCTTGACGGCACTTCCTTAGATATGACATAATGAAAGACCAATATAAAAGGATGTATATTTTGTATATAATATCCGCGATTATATAATTCAAAAGTTTTTTTAATACATTCTTAGTTAGTGTTTGATTATAGATGTTGAATCAGATTTTGAAAACTTACCTTAAATATCTGTTTGTTCATAAAATTTTATCAGATTTCAAAAACTTGGTCTTCAAATATTTTCGACTAGTACTTTTTTTTTTGGAGAAATTCCACTTTTTTCTGACAAAATTTCAATTTTTATTCAAAGCAAAATGTATGTCCAAATACAATTTCAAGTTCAAAAAATCACAACTACAAAAACCCAAATCTTTAGGTTTGTACTTTAGAATCTATAGTCAAACCGAAGCAAACGTCATGCCAGTCAAACTATAAAGACTCTGAGTGATTGTAGTTGGTTTATTGTGGGTGTAGGTGGCATTAGCAACAGCACCAGGGCCATATATGGAAGTGATTAGAAAAGCTCAATTGGGAATAAATCTTCCAAATGTGAGATGTGTAGATGCTAAAGGGCTTCCAATTGGGCCAGATATGTTGCATCTTACAACTCCAGCACAAGTCCAGCTTGGGGAGATGTTGGCTAATGCCTTCCTTCAAATTCAAAAGGTGTTTCTCCCCTCTTCAAACTAGTTATTGTGTAATGTTAGAAGTGTATTTAAAGGTAAAAAGAATAATTTAAAAAATAGATGTTTGCTGGTGTTATTATTTCTATGTCATTCATACTACAAATTTTGTTTCCCTATTGATTCCACATTATATGAGTCTTCTTATGATAAATAATTGAATTCAGAGGCGGAGCTAGGTAGGGATTTTGTGGGTTCGGAAGAACTCAGTAAAATTTTCGTAGATCGTACTTGAAAATTAATTAAATATATATGTGCATTTATTTAAGAATCCTTAACAAAATTGATTGACAATTCTAAAAGAAATTTGAAATCTCCAAACTCTTTATTCTAGTTCCACCTCTAATTCACCGTAAGCTAAGAATCACTTATTTTTGTTCGAATTCAAATTATTCAAACCGATAAACTTGAGATATTTATGATTAAACAAAACAAGAAATACAACTATTAATTAAATATGTCGAAAATTGCTTAATCTAAAGATGCTAAAATCAAACACACACAAAACAAAACAAAAAAACCACCAAATATGAATGCATTAATGTGAATTTATTATGTGGATATAAACATCCACCACTTGTATAAACCAAATCCATATAAAATTGTGAAGATAGCCATTCTGACTGGATAAAATCTAAACCTACAAATAAAAACAAGTAAAATAAATTTAGCATATGTCAAAAGCCACAACTAAAACAATTGTACATTATCATTTGTTGATTCACTTTCCTAGAAAATCAAATTTTAGAATATATTGTGTTGTTACAAAGTATTTTATAATTTTTTAAAAGAGTTAATAACATTCAACAACTATTGCATAATACATTATCTTATCACAACTCACCAATTTGGGAGTCCTTAGATTGGAGAGAAATTTCCATTCTTAGTTCAATATATTTTGACGTTTATTTTAATCAATTCAATATGTATAGATTTCTTGTATGTAGTACATATGAAAAGTGTGTTATGTTCAATTATGTGATACTAATATAAAATGGAGATTATAAAATCTATTCATATTTCAATCATGCAATTGAAACAATAGAAATTAATGTTCAATGTGAACTAAAAAGAATCATACTTCAAAACATAAAGTTAAAATTCCACAGGAATATAATGACAAAACCACGGGAAATCCAACTTGAAAGAAAAAGATGATGAAAGATGAAGAACAAAAACTTGAAACAACACGGTTCAATTCTGAAGTGATTGTTAGCTAATCATTTCTAAAAGATTAATTCACATATAATTATGTGTTTAACTAAATTTGATTAGATCTAATATATAATAATGTCATCGTTACTAATTTACTAGCATAATATCTTTTGACTTCAATTTCTCTATCATGTTTATTAAAATTACCTAATTATGTAAAAATCATTTATACATTTTAGCAGATAAAATTTGAACTCTAATTATTTGATATTGTATTCCAATTTCCATGTATTCACAACAAAATATTTTTCACAACCTAAGAATTATCATTGACATATACAATAAATAGTTAAATACTATTGTTAACTATAAGTAAGTTCGATAAAATAACATATTATAATTCAATAATATGATTTTATTATACAATTTGAATTCAAAATGAAAATTTTCAATTACCTGATCGATCTGCAAGACTCAGCGGTGAACTCATCCACTTTGAGAGGAGTGACCCAATGTGAGACACTTTGGTCAAAGGACTCCCAATCAGGTAAAAACACACCAAGGATCCCTAAAATACCAATGAAGTAAGTGCCCATCATTTTGTTTAAAGATTGAGTGTACAAACCTATAAAAACTATAACTACAGCCAAACAGGCCACTGATATTTGGAAATTCTTTTCAACGTTTTTCATTAGACCTCTAATATGACACGTTTCCTCACAGTTATATGATCAACGAGACAAGTCAACTATTAAGCTGCTAAAATTGCCCTAATTATGTGAGGAAAATTGGAAAACAAAAGAGGGAAGAAGAAGGTAGAGTTCAAAAAAAAACATATTTTAATTTTCCATTATAGCCAAACAAGGAGTTAGTTGGGACTTGGCCCTGCATTTATTTTTGTGATATAAGTGAAGGACCATATAATCAATAAGGCTGGCCTCGTTGAGTCTTGAGAAATGAAAAATAAATGATTGGGTTGACCGTTTACCTAGATTTTGTTTTTTTTAGTATTAGCTAAAAGTCCATATCCTTAATTAGCGAAAAACTATTTCATTATATTTTCTTTCCGTTCCATTTTATATGACACTTTTCATATTATGAAATTTAAATAAGTGTATTTTTATCGTAATCTTTTTATAGATCCTTTTAACATTTGAATTGTCAATTATTGTTATTTATAGTACTCTTTACGTAGTTTACAAATATATAAATTTCATTTCAAAAAGATTGAAAATTTTAAACACAAATGTCCGAATCAAAGTTAAACTATTTGACTCTCGAGAAATGAAAAATGCCACATAATATGGAACGAAAAGAGTAAATATTTTTATAATTTATTTTTTGAAATAATTATGCATCGTTTCATTAATTGATAATTTATATCAATTTTAAGTCAAATACCCCTTAATACATATATTTCTACTACTAAATACACTAAAATAAGAAGAGAAATTAGGAAGATAATCTATATATGTATCTCATATATATATGAATCACACTAGATAAATATATATATATATAAAATACCATATACACAGAGAGGAAGCAGGAGAGTTAATACATATATGTGAAACACTTGGATACGCTATATCTGAAACAAATTATAACTAATTTTGATCCCAAATATAACTGAACACACCATATACATGAATCTAAAGTCTAATTTCTAGTATGATTCGTGATATAAGAAAGCGATTTACTTCTAAACATAATCTGCAAGTATCCGGGATATTACGTACATACATTCAAAATACATTCTGAAATATAGATAAATAAGGAGAAGCGAGAGAGTTGAATATATACAAATCTACTTGAAGACAACATGTCTAGAACACATTACACTTAATTTTAATCTTATGTATCCGAAATTCATATATTTGTACGTGTCATTATATAGTCCAAATGGTAATAAAATTCATAATATTAAAAACGGTCATACAAAAAAAAATGACATAATACTTATATTGGATCCTAAACTTGATTTTAAATTTTAACTTCGACCTCCAACTTTCATAATGTACAAAGAGATACTTAACCTATCCAACTTTTAAATAAATAAACACATGAGTCCTACGTGACACAATACACGTAGGATACCACGTAGTATAAAAAATAACATGTGGGACATGTGTGTCTATTTGTTCAACTTTATACAAATTTAAGTGTTTATTTGTACATTTTTAAAACTAAAGAACATAAATATAACTTAAATTCAAGTTAAAAAACATATTTATATATTATAAAAAAAAACAATATACTCCTAAATTAATAAAATTTGTCTTATTCTACTCTAAGTTAATTGGGAGTAAAATGGACTTGATAAATGTGGGTATTTGTTTAAACCAAGCCGTCACAAGTTGTGTAGTATTCTCTCTTTTACACACTTCGAGATGAGTAAAATAGCCTTACAAACTCCAAGATGAGTAAAATATCAGTCTCATTTGTTGATTCACTTCCCGAGAATTTATATTATATAATTGCACGGATTCGATAATTTATTTAATATATCAATTCTTACGGAGGATTTTTTTATATATAGCGATTAAAAAAATAATCTAACTATTCTTTGTAATTAAAATTTGATAATTATAACTCGTAAATAAATATTATAGAAAAAAGAGAGGAGCGTGAGATTGGAAGATAGAAAAGAGGCAAGCGAAATTGGAGAGAGGAAAGAGACGAGAGAGAGAGAGAAGAGAATTATATATGTATATCGGTTAGATAATTGTATAATTATACATATGCACTTGTATATATGATAAACGTGATTGGGAGAGGGAGGAGAGAGGCGAGTTAGAGAGGACAATAATTTGTATAATTCGTAGGTACGTTTGTACAATTTTTCTATTTTTGTATAATTGATTAAATATAAAGTCTTGAAATATACAAATATAATAAAACTAGAAATAACAAATTGACTATAAAGTCTTGAAATATACAAATATAATAAAAGTAGAAATAACTAATTCTCTCTCTCTCTCTCTCTCACACACGCACGCGCGCACACACATATATATATGAACTTTAAACAATTTTACAAAATACATTATAAAAATCATATTATACGAAACCCAAAGCTACATGTTTATACAAACTTTAAAAAGTTATACACAAAAAGATTGAATGTATACGATAACAAAACTGAAAAATCAAAGGAAGTCATCATCATATATAAATACAAACAATCGTATACAAATGCAAATCAAACAAAGAAGTGTGAATTGTGAATTATACAAATATGACGAATTATACAAATACAAACGTGACTAATTATACAAACTCAAGTCAGCCAACGTAATTAATGTATAATATTAGTCGCTAGTGGTAACTAAAACAAACTATAGCCATAATGAGTAATTAAATACTATATGTTCATTTAGCCGTTTAATTTTTCCATTATTATTTTAGATCTCAATAATTTAAGGACAACTTTCACATATAGCAAACAAAAAGTTCATATTTGTATGCTATAGCAAACTTTGCATAATTGCGCTCCATAGCAAACATAAAACTGTATAATTCGCTATACATATACTAGTGTATAATTCGCTGGCCTTTTTCGCTGCAATTGTATAATTTGCTATCCTATTTCACTGCAATTGTATAATGCACAATTGTTTAATTCACTGCCTATTTCGCTGCAATATTAAGTGTATAGCAAGAAGATATATGTTTTTCTCTCGCTTTATACAAAAACAGAAACACAATATATACACTTCTGTTGTATAAAGCTAGAGAAAATTGTATTTTACTGCAATTGTATATTTCGCAATTGTATAATTCGTTGACCTTTTTCTCTGCAATATTTGAAATAAAATGTTTGTAAATTGTATAATTAAGTGTATAACACGAAGATATATATTTTTGCATGTGTATATACAATTTTCTCTCGCTTTATACAAAACAGAAACAGAATTATACACTTCTGTGTATAAAGCGAGAGAGGCGAGCGAGAATGGAGAGTGGCGAGCGAGATTTCTGGGAGAGAGACGCTGGCAAATTTTAGCTAACGTTTGCTATGGAGCACAATTAAATCAATCCCTAGCTATTCCATTTATTTTAGGTTATTAGTTTGCTATTATATACAATTTTCCCATAATTTAAACGGAGTTCTCAATATGGACTGACTCATTCCCTCTGGGCTAATCGACACAGACTTTGTTAATTGACGGGTCAGGCGGCACTAGCCCCTTTTTTGTGTGGGCTAAAAAATGATCGGCCTAACCCATAAGTATGTGGGCAACGGATTTTGCCGAGCTAGCCCTCTTTTTTCAAAAACATATTTTTTATAATATTTTAAATTATATTATAGTTAAAAATATTATCATAAATATCGATAAAATAATATTACACGGGGTTAATGTTACTAGTTGTTAATCATACACAAATAAAATTATTTATAATATATTTATTAAGTTTGATTTCAATAAAAAACTTAATAGCTAAATGGAAATATTTACCTAATTGTTTATCAATGATCATAATAAAACACAAATTCCATAGATTGTGACCTATGTAGTTCTTCCCTAGAAATATTAGAAATTTTTTGTTTTAAGTATTACATATTTTATAAATATAATTTATATTTAAATTGTAATATTTTAAACTTTAAACAAAATTTGAGGGCAGACTTTTATTATTTTTAATAGTCTATTTTATTTTTATTTTTCAATTAATTTTTACTTGGCTTGGGAGCTGACACTGTTCATATTTTTCAAGCCTCACAAATTGACAGACTTATTTAGGTCGAGATAAAAAATCCTTTTCCTAAATAATGAGCTCCTAAATCATAACGCATCCTTATCAAATCATAGATTAAGTAAGATCATCCCAACGAACCTAACTTATATTAACGATTCTAAATTTAAATAAAAAACATCTTAATTCATACACTTTAAAATTTTATCCCAACGAACCTAACTTATATTGACGATTCTAAATTTAAATAAAAAAACATCTTAATTCATAGACTTTAAAATTCTACTTTACCTCTCTATATAATATTTTATATTTTTTTGAAGAACTTCATAGCATTCATCTACTAATATGTAATGTTATCTAATATCACCAACCAACTTGCCTTGAATATGAGGACCCTACTTATTGTACTAGTCTACTGTAATTATGTATCAAGGAAAAAAAATGAATTAATTAAATATGCTTTTTGGTTTAATATGTTTTGATTTATTTTTCATTATAGCTTGTTTTAAAAGGTATGATTTATTTTTAAATTTTAATTCTTCATATAACATATTTAAAATTATAAAATTAAATGATATTTGAATACATTTGACATATCTTTAATATAAAATTATAAAAAGTTAAAAAAAATTCTTTGTTTTGTTGTATTTTGTGTGTGTGCATAAGCCTTGGCATTTTAATTATTAAATGTTAATGGTGGATTTTTGTTGTTAAGATTTGGTACCATATATATTTAAAAGATATTCCAAATTTGTGAATATGACGAATATGACAGCATAACACCAGCACTTATTTTGATCTAGTAAGGTTAAAAGATATTTTGGAAATACTTCGTAAAAATTCACAAGTAAATTTTAAAAATAATATGTATATAACCTTAATCCTCTATAATACTCTTCTTTTATTCGGATTTGAAATCGACAATGTAAAAGGTGATTTTTAAAACCACAATTTTTTCCCGAAAGCACTCTATTGGGACTTGTTTTCTACCTAGGATAAGAAACAAAATATAAAATGAAATTAAATAAATAAAAATTGTGGCTGCAATTTGTCCATCAATTTCTTCCAACTCATTGCCTTAACCAATCACTTTCATAGGGGTTACCCAAGTGGGAGAATTAACTTGTGTTAGATAGCTATCTTACTAAATTTCATCCTTCAAAAAGTTCATTTTTTTCTGTTTGTTGTTGAACCATTAATCTTATTGAAAAAAAATATTTCTAATTATACTAAGCCTCGACACGAGCTAACATATTTGTTTGTTCTGATATCATATTAAATTGTCGGATTAAACCTATAGTATAGCTTACAGGTTCATTCGGACCCAATATCTCTCGTCCAATCCTTTTGTTTGTCTTGAATAAATTAATAAATATATACATATTAACCTACCTATAAGCTTCAAATCTTGATCGACGCCACCCTATCAAAGTGTTTTTTGTAGGCATAATACATAAAAGAAAAAATAATCTAATTTTAAGCATGCATAACTAAACACCTCAACTCGTAATCCAGATTGTTATTTGATCATCTAAATTTATGTGTCAAATCATCCAAAAGACACCTTGAGGATGAGTTGGAGTGTTCAGTTGTCAATCAAGACTAAGTTGAGGTGTCTAGATATTCACCGTCAAAGTTAGAGTGCTTACTTACCAACTGAGGTCAAACTTGACTGTTTGCTTGTGTATTATGCCCTTTTTTTGTAACACATCCTATTCATTAGTGAAAGTTACATGTAAAGCAATAAAGGGATAAGACTAATCCTAGTTCACTGATGTCCAAGAAAGACACATTAGCATGGTGGTGTTAAAGATAGGTGACACATTGTTGGTAATATTTTGAGGCAAAAAAAAATAAAATGTCAAGTGGTGGTTGTAGTATAGTATGGTTTAGGAGGGATCTGAGGCTTGAAGATAATCCAGCACTGGCTGCTGCAGTGAGAGCAGGATCAGTGATTGCTGTGTTTATATGGGCACCAGAAGAAGAAGGATACTATTGCCCTGGAAGAGTGTCAAGATGGTGGATTAAGAAAAGTTTGGCTCATCTTGATTCATCTTTGAAGAAACTTGGCACTTCACTCATTACAAAGAGATCTAATGATAGTGTTTCTTCTCTTCTTCAAGTTGTCAAATCTACCGGTGCAACTCGAGTTTTTTTCAATCATTTATATGGTTAGTTATGCCTTTTGTTATATTAGTACATGTTCCTATTTGTTGGTTTTTTGTTCATGTAGTTTCTTGTCCTTCGATTATTGTTGCTTTATCGTATTATTTTGTTGTAGTTACTACTCAGTATGCTTTGTTATGTTTCACTTCCTCTGTAATTGATGTAGTATATAAGTTATATATTCTCCGTGTTTTTAGTTGCTCGTATGCTGGTGAACGTTGTTGGATATGTGCGAACAAAGTCTCATAGGATAAGTAGAAGAGAACAAAGAAGTTACTTATTGGACAATAAGCACATCATTTTTCGTGTGTTTTTGTATAATTTGTAATTTGACATAAGAGGTGTACACTCAAATGCTTGATCATATATGCTTGTGAATGTGGATTTGTTATATCAGAAGGTTTATAAACAAAAGTATTATTGTGTTTTGCTTTAGATCCAATATCACTTGTAAGGGATAATTGCGCAAAGGAAACCTTATCAGCTGAAGGTGTATCTGTGTGTTCTTTCAATGCTGATTTGCTATATGAACCATGGGAAGTTGTCGATGATGAAAGCCGTCCATTCAGCACATTTTCTGATTTTTGGGAAAAATGTCTTACCATGCCTTATGATCCTGAAGCTCCACTTCTTCCGCCTAAAAGGATAATATCTGGTTTGTTCTCATCTATCGTGATCGTGTTAAATGCACATTCACCATTTTGTTCTACTGATGTAGCTAAGAATCAGATAGAACCTGCCGCAATTTTTTCCATTTTCGTTTGACTGGGTATACTGTTTGTTTTGTGGAACACTTTCCAGGTGATGCATCAAGATGCCCTTCAGACAACTTGGTGTTTGAGAGTGAATTAGAGAAAGGAAGCAATGCACTTCTTGCTCGAGCGTGGTCTCCTGGTTGGAGCAATGCTGATAAGGCACTCACTACTTTCATTAATGGACCGTTGATTGAGTATTCCAAGAATCGTAGTAAAGCTGATAGTGCAACAACCTCATTTCTGTCACCGTGTTTACATTTTGGTGAAGTCAGTGTTCGTAAGGTATTCCATCGTATTCGTACTAAACAAACACTCTGGGCTAATGAAGGAAACAAAGCAGGTGAAGAGAGTGTCAACTTGTTCCTCAAGTCTATCGGCCTTAGGGAGTTCTCGAGATACATGAGCTTTTATCATCCTTACAGTCATGAAAGGCCATTGCTTGGTCAGTTGAAGTACTTCCCTTGGTTAGTAGACGAGGGTTATTTTAAGGCGTGGAGGCAAGGTAGAACAGGTTATCCTTTAGTTGATGCAGGTATGAGAGAACTTTGGGCCACTGGCTGGTTACATGATCGTATTCGAGTTGTTGTGTCTAGTTTCTCTGTTAAGGTTCTGCAGCTTCCTTGGACATGGGGAATGAAGTATTTCTGGGACACACTGTTAGATGCAGATCTCGAGAGTGATGCTCTTGGTTGGCAATTTATTACCGGTACCCTACCTGATGGTTGTGAGTTCCTCGGAATTGATAATCCACAGGTATTTCCTTGTAATCGTAGCATTTTGTTGTAGTTACTGTCCTTTTTTCAGACTGCTCCAACGTCATGTTGAAGTGTTTGACAGTCTCATCTAAAGCTCAAGCTGTTAGATAAAGCATACCTTTAATTATGTTCTCAACACGTTCATCCTGTCATGTATAACTTTAATTGCTATTGATTGTTAATTGTCTAAACCGTAGTTTGAGGGATACAAGTTTGATCCAAATGGGGAATATGTTCGACGATGGCTTCCTGAACTTGCTAGGCTGCCCACAGAATGGATACACCACCCATGGGATGCACCAGAATCTGTACTTCAAGCTGCTGGAATTGAGCTTGGTTCCAATTATCCTTTTCCTATCGTTGAAATCGTTGCAGCAAAAGAACGACTAGAAGAAGCGTTGTCACAAATGTGGCAGCTTGAAGCAGCTGCAAGATCTGCTATTGAGAATGGAATGGAGGAAGGACATGGAGACTCCACTGATGAGTTTGTCCCAATAGCTTTTCCTCAGGCTATGCAGATAGAAATGGAAGCTAATAATGTACCGGTCAGGAACAATAATCCTACAATTACTGCTCTACGACGTTATGGAGATCAGATTGTTCCTAGCATGTCATCTTCCTTTTTTAGGAATGAAGACGAAGAAACCTCTGTTGATATTAGAAATTCAGTTGTAGATAGTAGAGCAGAAGTTCCAATAATATCGATGTAATGCAAGAACTATGGAATACGTACACTTGACCAAGCAGGAACTCCGAAGATCAAAATATCACATTTATATACAGATATGATGCCTCTACTTCTCTGTACCAGACATTAGTTGAGACGATACGTAGTAGTTATGATTTTAGTTCCAGAGGATGTCGAAGCCTCATGGAACTTTCTTAACCTGTGTGTGATATGCACTTGCTACAGGTGTATCGTTGTGGCCAGCATTTGGAGAGTTTGATTTCTCAGATGATCACTCGACTAATTGTTATCATCTCAGGAAGTCACTTTCTTTGTTGAAAGTTTTGGAATCAAGAAGAAAGGGGACTTTCGAGATAATAACTATTAATCAAGTGACTATATGAGAAATCAACCGAGCATTTGGATTACGAATAAGCACACTTAGCATGGGATCAATCTATATAGCTTGGTTATATCAGCTGTAAATTTGTGTATAGTATGTCCAGATTTTCTTATTTTTCTGCATCTCTTACCGGTTTGTACTGGTGTGTTTCCGTTGTATAGAATAGGTGTACTCTTTAAAGACAATGTGTCGAAAGGGATTGAAGTCTCGTTGAGATATAATATAATTAAGTTATAAAAAATGCAATCATTCTTCGTTTTCCTATAGCACGAATACTCACATTTTGACATTCATGTATTTTCTGGTGTTACATAATCTCCTACGTATTTGTTGGTATACATCTTATGCTTCAGATTTTCGTATTCTGCTTTGGTTGTCGGAGAAGGCCATATATCCCAGTTGCTGTCATGGCTCCAAGAATCGGGGCAATAACGAAGACCCATTGGTTCTTATAGACACCTGAGACTATTGCAGGGCCTAAACTTCTTGCTGGATTCATTGAAGCTCCAGTAATTGGCCTGCAGATATGAACTTTTAGTAAGTAACAAAATGTTATACTCTACATTGTTAGCAATTTCAAATCGGAACATCACACATCGATTAATCAAAGAGAGATTCAACAACGAAAAGAAAGATCAATTTGTTGGGATCTTTCCTTTTTTTACAACAGAACGAAAAGAGAGAGAATCAAGTATAGGAAAGCAGGATAAGTTACTCATCCTAGTCTTTTCATAGTCAAGAATTTACGTTGCTCAGATTCTTCAAAAATAGGTCGTCTGTCGGATCCTTCAAAAGCTACGTAGCTTTGGAGGATCCGACACGGGTGCAACAACATTACAAGTACATCAATGATTTTACCCTGCAATAAGGACTTCAAACACTAATGTCACTCCAATTGCAACTCCAGCTACCCCTTTGGTCTGCATTTGAAGATAGTAAACTGATTAGGAGGACATTCTAGTTGATTAAATTGACGAAATATTCACGAAAAACGTACCGCTCGATCGTCAGTAGCAGCTCCACAGATCACAAACATCAAAATGAGAGTCATTAAGAACTCCCAAAATATAGCTTCAAAATCAGTGACTGGACTTTTGTACTGAGTTAACATTGGTAGTATGTCACCTTGATGATTAAATAACACTCTCAAGGTAAGACTTGCAAGTGTAGATCCCAAGAATTGAGGTAGTACATACATAGGCACCTGCAAGAATCGGGGGCGGAAGTAGGGTTTAAGTTACTAGTTCGACAGAATTCAATAACTTTGGCCCGAACCTTGTATATGTGTTGATAAATCTCCTAAATATGTACAAAACTAAACATTAGAACCCTATACTTGCATTTGAGGTCACTATTCTACCATTCAAAACTCATAAAGTTCAAATCTTGGATCTGTGTCCGATCCATGTGCATATAACTGTTGGTACATTCTACATATCTTCAGTTTAACAACACAAAATTTAGAAGTCTTCATCACTTGTTAAAGTTTTTGTCAAGTCAAAATCAGACAAACAAATTGAAACAGAACGACTATCACTGTACTAAGTGGGAACTATTATCATTATTGGTGTTTGATTAAAAGTTCTTACTTGCATTAATGGTAGTTTTCGAGCTGCAGCAAAGGCAATGGTGACCGCGGGGTTGAAATGGGCGCCAGAAACATGACTTAGAGTGTATATTAGAGCCATCAATGATAAACCCCATGCCAATGCTATACCAACAATAGTGAGTGTCCTTTCTCTATCAACAAGAGCTGATCCACAACCCACAAATATGAAAATATAGGTTCCCACCAGCTCAGCTATAATCTGCATAATGGCGCGATTAAACATGAAATGAAACAAATTGTTGCTAGCAAACGTTATAACAAGAGCTTGTAGGCAGAAGCGAATACAAAATCTAGAGTCCATGAGTTCAGAATTTACTTAATTTTGCGACTAAAAATGAATCCAACAAGAGCTTGTAGGCAGAGAAAAACACATAATCTAGAGTCAATGAGTTCAGAATCTACTTAATTTTGCAACTAAAAATGAATCCAACAAGAGCTTGTAGGCAGAGGAAAATACGTAATCTAGAGTCAATAAGTTCAAAAGAATGTACTTTATAGATATATGTTTTAATTTATACGTTCGTACATACTCTGCCTATTAGCTCACCGTGACCAACATAACATGAACTTGTAGGCAGAGGAGAGTCGTGAGTTCAAAATGAATGTACTTTATAAATTATACATAAATGTTTTAATCTATACGTTCATACACACTCTACCTATTAGTACATCGTGACCAACATAACATGAGCTAGTAGATAGAGGCAAATACGTAATCTAGAGTCGGTGAGTTCAAAATGAATGTACTACGTAGCTACCTTTTGGAAAGCAGATAGGAAAGGACTCTGAATAGTTCCATGTTTTCCTTCTTCAATGCTTGAAAAATCAGCAAATATTCCATTTTTAGATGAATTTGTAGAGATTATAGAAGTTATGCTGGCCATTATTTATTTCAAGTTTAAGGGTAGCTTATTAGTTATTACCAATATTACTCTTGGCTTTTTATAGTGTGTGGAATTTGACTAGGCACAAAGATATTATCCCTAGATATAATTCTTGATGTGACAGTTTATTAAAAAAAAATATAGTCGCACTCAGTAACTTTTGTTCAAATATAATAGTCTATTTGTATTAAAAAATTTATTAAATATGTATAAATATTGCGTTTAGAATTTAGTCATCAATATTTGAAATCATCATTATAAAATTATAACTCATAAAGTTAAAATTCTAACTTCGTCTCTGATCGATTACAGTGAAGCGTAAAGATGAACTTAAAGATAGTTTTGGGAACCATTCTTAATGTTTTAAAATATTTGTGTGCCGAATTTTAATGATGTTACATTTTGTTTTTATTCTTGTAAGGACAAATATTTATTACAAAATCTATTCTTATAAGGACAAATATTTTATTAAAAAATTGTGTAATTCTATTGTTTGTTCCAAGCCGGCAGTTGTTGGAAGATAGAAATATATTTTGAATAAGTCTAAGTATTAAAAAAAGTCTATTACGATTAAATGGAAAAGAAAAATCTTTAAAGATTCTTATAATATATGGAAGTATCGATTTATTTTTGTAAAATCATTCATTTTGAATACAACATGAAGAACATAAGTCAAATGTCGATCTCAAAATTTTATTTTATTAATAAATAGAATAATATTTCGATGTTATTTTTAAAAAAAAAAACTAAAAAAAGTTTAATGGGGTGAGAGAGGCTCGAACTCTCGACCTCAGGATTACTCAGAAGCTATGAGACCTACGCGCTAGCCAACTGCGCCACCACCCCTTTGATACTTTCAATTCTGCTATCCATAATAATACAAAATAAAGGGTCATTTGATACACAAGTATTAATAATTCATGAATTAATTTTGAGAAATGTAAGTATAACTCTATGCAATGATTCATCTTGCATGATTTAGATATTCATGCATTAACAATCTCATCTTCAATCCTACGTAACATTATACAGAGAATTACAGGTATTAGTTATGTGTGTTTTTAAATTATAAACCAAACACATATATTAATTTTATACATAATCCTAATCAACTATCAAATACAAAATCTAATGTGTATATATATAATATTTCTCTTAACTAGTTAACAAATAACCACAAAATTATTTTTATGAAACAACCAATTTTTTGTATAATTAATGTTATGAATGGACCTAAACCAATATTAACAAATGGGCCACAGGAGTCTGGTAGAACAATTTGGGTTATGCAGGGTAGGTTATTATTATAAAAAAATTATCAGATTAGTAATTAAGGCTTATCAAAGGGATTTATTATTGTAAAAATTAGGCTAATCACATACTCTAAACAACAAATTACATTCTATCCCTATTGTATAACTATTTACCAAAAATCCTTTTTTTTTAGTAATTCGGATACTTTATAAAATATAACGATATTTAATTAAAAGTGGCGAATACTTTAATGATTTGTTTTTTGTTAACAGTTACGGCGCAAAAAAGGGTAACAATTATCCCATGATTCACGTTAACATTTAACAAAATTAACATATAATCTGCATAAACATCTAACTAATTTATTACATTATTGAATTTCAAAATAGTGAAAAATTCATATTATGAATCGGATAAAAAAAAAATCAATTTTGCATAAGAAAATTCTGAAACGCATTTTGTGAAGATTCAAAGATGAATATTTCGATTTTGTTACGACATTCTGGAATATGGGAAAGTGTTGTTATATATGAGCGATACAAAAGTGATAGAATAGTGATTGGGAAAAATATTTCGTTCATGAATCTTATTTCAGCAAATTATTTATAATAAGTGATCTGGCTACATAAATAATGTGTACACCTTCAATACGGAGAATTTAAATTCATATTAAAATGAACAAATGTAATCTAACATGTTATAACATATTACTTATCAATTACTATTAAATATCATCCATTACTCCTGGTCCACTTTATCATAAGACATGATTTTAAAAGCAACTTAAATAAGTCAATTTAAATTACCTCATGTCTCAGTATTCCACTGTAATAGTCATCGCAAATGATGGAAGGAAAAAAATCGTGTGACTAAATTAAAACAATGATAACTTGAAGAAATATCGTGTGAATAAATTAAAACAATATGCTAAACATATTAATTTCACATTTGAACCCAAATCTATTTTGTACTTATCTAGGTTGTGTTTAACACTGTTATTATTTTTAATTCAAAATGAAACACGTTTTTATAACTTAAAATCAAGTCATAGAGATCAGATATACTTTTTTTTTCAACTAA